GTCTGGAGAGACCAGATTCTTCAATAAAAGGCTTGAATGAATTGGGAGATAACGCGATACTCTATTGTCTGAAGCCTTTTAAAATGGTTGTTATAATTGTTTTCAAGATGAATACATTAACAAAGATAGGGTTCATGAAAAACAATCACTTCGTACCAGAATTAAATGAATGTACATGGTCCCTCATGTTTGTATTATCAACGAATATACTCACATCAAACTAGTACATTGTATACTGAAACGCAAAAGAAACGCAACATCCTAATTTTAGGGGGAAAATTATATACAGGTTATAACTTTCTACTTAAAAAGTTAGGACATCTTCAACTTTGCCAAATCAGTAATTTAACGGTTGAATGATTTTCATTCCATTACCGGAAGTCGATTTTGACCCCTCTTAACAGAAATCAAAAAAATGCATGATTAATAAAACATTTAACAATAATTTGGGTTTTCAAGGGTTTGTAGCTGTTAATCATAAGTATTGCACTAATATTCCGAATAAAAAAATCCTTCTTTCTTTTCCCGATGTGATGCCAATATTTTCTCAAAATGAATGAAAACACGCATTTTCATTGCTCTTGCTGGAAATTCTCAAAATAAAAGTAAAGGAAAGTTGCAGATGCAAATATGCACTACATAACGACTCATCAGGCTTATGCGTTTCATGAGCATGATTGACAGTATTTTTTCGTTCAGATCAAGAGACCGATAAATCTTATGCATCGTAGGAAATCGAGCTGCAATTGTTGTACATGGCGGACTAGCACGCTGTAATTGAATGGTCGGAAGGGGGGATGATTAAAGAGTTATGTGTTACTTTCTAAGGTTTAAAGATAACTTCAGAAATGAATACAGTGAGGTTCAAATAAATTTACAATCATCGGATATTTGATTTAAACGTTGAATGTTATTTTTAAGAAGGATTTTTTTTATTTGGAATATTAGTGCAATACTTATGATTAACAGCTACAAACCCTTGAAAACCCAAATTATTGTTAAATGTTTTATTAATCATGCATTTTTTTAATTTCTGTTAAGAGGGGTCAAAATCGACTTCCGGTAATGGAATGAAAATCATTCAACCGTTAAATTACTGATTTGGCAAAGTTGAAGATGTCCTAACTTTTTAAGTTAATAGTTATAACCTGTATATAATTTTCCCCCTAAAATTAGGATGTTGCGTTTCTTTTGCGTTTCAGTATATTTTGTGAAACAGCTCCAGAAATACTTTGTTTTAGCAACATAATGGTAAGGAAAGGAATTGAAAGTCACGTGCACTCGATTGTTTCGCAATTAGAATTTCTTGCTCATGTGAAAATTCTACGAGAATAACATTTAAATACATTTTGTCTGATTTTTCTCTGTGTTAGTGATATTTTGTTAAAGATTGCCTTTGCCGACATTGTTGTCATCAACCTTCCCTTCGTTTACCCCGCAGTGTTAGAATTTCAGAAGCCTTCTCTCCAACTTGTATCATGCACATTGTGTAACTGCGTTTCTTAAGTTGTTTTTTTCCCCTTCAAAATATAACTTTTTATACATGTATGGATAGAAACGAATTATAAAAAAATGACAAAATGTGTGTCAGCGTTTTGATTTATTCATTTATTTATTTATTTATTTCATTCTTTCTTTCTTTCATCCATTCTTTCTTTCTGATTCTGATTCTTCATTCTGTCAATCATTCTGATTTTATCTATTTTATTATAATTTCTTTTTTGTAGTAATAAAAAGAATATATTGCGATGCTAAAATAAAGTACTCTGTTATTATTGAAAAAATATACATATATATGTGGCAAAATAATTATTTTTAAAACAGTGTTATAGATACTAACGTCCTTGGCTCATATATGTACAGTATGTATATGAAATTTTTCAATGTCCTTGAGGACATATTACATGTATTTATTTTTATATAGAACCGATTGCCTTATACATTGTATTTATCGGCATATAACTTATTATAAAAAAGATCAACAATCCAATTTCATTTTTTTTTTAACTTTAATGATATGAGTTATTAATGAGAAATGTAGATGAAATTGCTGTTAATTGTCATTTCTAAAATTACAGTAGAGGGGGAATTAAAATTTTACAGTCCTTCTCGTTTTCTTTTTAATTGATTTCAAATATCCATCAGTGAAAGATAGGATAAATTTATTTATATGAATTATACAGCATTCTCAGTTTGAAGTGGGCCAGGTATTTACCTGGGATTAGCGGAACTCCTTACATAAGCTATCTACTAAAAACTTTGTAAAATAATCAGTATATGACGTAATTTATAACGCCATAAACTGATCAGAATACGAGAGATCGTGAGATGCGGCCGAGCCGCGACAGATCGCGCGCAGTCGTGTATATGAGGGGGGTTAGTCTGTAGTGGCCTCTAGTCCGTTATCGGGGGACTAGAGAGACTGTAAATCCAGGGGATACCGAAATTCAAGGACCCTTCTCAGATCATAAAATCATAAATTCTATCCCCGTGTCCCAACCACACTTATCGGGACATGAATATTGTACAAATATTTTTACTGTTACCTGGAGTAAATAATCAAACAAATTCAATTTTAGGTTCATCGAATTAATATATACATGTACTAGATGTGTGTAGAAATTTCTTTTTCTGTTGCATTTTGCACTGTGAAAACAACTTTAAAATTATCCAAATCATTATAGATGCATGTACATTGTTGTTTTTTTTTAATCTCAATTCATGCAATTTTATCAAGTTATTATTATTTTCATTTTATTTTTATCTAATATATTTCTCATGTGAGATAATAAAATATTAAGTTATTACTAGATATTTCGAAAAAAAATCGAATAAAGGGTACATTGTAAAAACTCACAGCAGAGATTCATATTTTTTCGAACAATTTCAATTTTTCTTGGTTCTTTTGAGTCAATTCTCTTTAATATAAAATGAAATTCATTTTGATAATAAAAGCGACTACACTGTAAACATAAAATAACATTTTTTGTATACAGCATTCCTTTTTCGAAAAATCTGTACGTATACCCAACAAGGTTTTTGAATGTTTACTTTAATTTTAGATGAAATGATCTTTTTTCTTTAAAAATAATACTTTTCTCCATCAATTACTTACTAAATTGAATAAATAACAACAAGCTAAACAACTGTTAAAATCTGTGTTCTCTTCATAAAAAGAAAATCACTACATCATAAACTGATGAATTTACAGTTTAATTACACGACCCAACTATTTCGAAAATATGTTCTCAAAAAATGTTTTTGAACATTTGTCTTTCTAATTGGTATTTTGAAAGAAAAAAATATAAGAATATTTTTTTATAGCATGGCATGTTTTTGTCCCCTATATGCATTTTTTTTTATATAGATGTCTAATTGCAAAATAAATGTCGACATGTAACAGAAATATCTTCACCTGTAAACTGGCTTAAATAAGTTGTCGACGTAAACAATTGCAAGAAAACTTTAATGATTTGGATCTATTCAAATTAGTTGCATGTGATTAGATAAGAATACAAGAGTTATTTTTATATAAATATTGCATGTAGTTGAGTGTAACACTGAAAATTTTCAACCTAAGAAGACCATTGTCAACCGAGGCGCAGCCGAGGTTGACAATGGTTTTCGAGGGGTGAAAATGTTCAATGTTACACTCAACTATACATGCAATATTTATTATATAATACTGAATGTTTTATACAAATAAATATTACAGTGAACCATGCCCGCATAAATTCTGCGCAGTGAATATTTTTGGAATATCACCCGTCGTCAAGCAATGTTGACTGTTGCTGCGCTGGAGGGCGTGACTTCATCATTCAGCGGGTAATAGTATATAAATATTGCATGTTGTTGAATGTAACATTGAAAATTTTCACCCCAAGAAAACCATTGTCAACCGAGGCGCAGCGGAGGTTGACAATGGTTTTCGAGGGGTGAAAATTTTCAATGTTACACTCAACTGCATGCAATATTTATTATATTATACTGAATGTTTTATACAATTACATATAACAGTGAACCTTGCGCGCATGAATTCTGCGCAGTCAATATTTTTTGGAATATCACCCGTCGTCAAGCAATGTTAACTGTTGCTACGCTGGAGGGCGTGGCTTCATTATTCAGCGGTTAATAGTGTTTTTTATCAAATGTTTCTCGACGAATGAGATTCAACTAATTTACATGAAAGTATAATACATGTGTATTATAAAATATAACATTTTTCCACATTCGACAGATGTAACATGCCAATTGCAACTTATAAAAAAGTTGACGTACATCTTTTTTTTTTTTTTTTACGTCGAAATGCATTGAACATACTCGTAGTCGTATATGTTGTCATGCAACCTTTTTTCCATTACTTCCATTACATATTGTAGACAATCTAGCAAGCTGGATTAAATAAGATATATGTCGACATAAACGATTGCAACAAATCTTAAATGAGTTGCATGTCAACACAAATGAGTTGCATGCCAATATAAATCGGTTTCATGTCGACATAAATAAGTTGCATCTCGCGTGTTAAAAGTCACATATGAAAATTTTCTAATTCTTAACTGATAACTTTTTTCTTGCATGTCAACATGCATATTTTACATGTTGACATAATTATTTTGAATGTCGACTTAGTCTTCTGACAAAATATTTGCATATACATGTAGGAGGCAGAAATATGCCGCCATATTTTGCTCCGAGGATTATTTAACTGATATGAATTACAATCAAGGAGATAAAAAACTGTTATTTTTTTCTCGGCTTTTCAATTCATATATCTATAGTTATTATTAATAAAAACAAAGTTAAATATGTCCATTTTGTCACATACAGTTTTGGTTAAGTCTGTACGTGTTTATAGTTTCAGAGTTATTCTTCATAAGAAAGGGTCAATCCTTTAACATGAACATGAAATCCTCTTTGGAAATTTTTCTGGTATATTCTGATTTCCCTGCATTCGAAACATTCGTAAAGTTTTCCACTGCTTAAAAAACATTGCAATATTCAATTCTTTCTTCATTTATTACATACAATCTTGCAATCAATTCAACAGATTTTCAATAAATATATATCTCTTAATTTGTAAAATCGCAAAACTGTACGAAAGGTGACTTACAAGCAAGTAAAACAATAAGATACATGCATGTTAATACACAAGTGTCAACAATATTATACACATCAAATAGTTAATGAGTATTCAATCACTCAAAATGGGCACTGGTGTCCTCAACATTCACTTATCACAAATTCACTATGGTAACGGCTCAACCAGTAACCATCAACAAGGTATTTCGAACCAGTGACCCGTTTTCCATTCGACCTAAGCACATCACACAGGGGAATTGGTGCATGACGTCACTTAAATCGTAGCACAAGGAGGGGGGAAGAGAATCAATTATGCTTGGGATACCAATTCTTGTGGGTCCATTTTAATAACTGAGATTGGAGTTGCCGATTGCATGATGGGATTGATGCTGCTGGTGACTGGTGATGGTGTTTGGTGAAATTCTGGTGAATGATGGGATTGAATGATGCCTTCTTTGTGGTCTTGCATTTGAGGCGACATCTGATGGCCATAATCTTCCATGGGGTCCTGTTTGATGATTGGTTGATTATTATGTACCGAAAGTGACATTTGTTGAGCAACACCGGAGTTATCAGCGTGGATGTTCATTTCCGGGTTGGAGGAGTTGAGATCTTCGCGCTTTTTGTTCTGTTTCCTCTCCTTGGCGCGCCTGTTTTGGAACCAGATTTTGACTTGTCTCTCGGAGAGGGCGAGATTCTGAGCTAGTTCGGCCTTCCTGCGGATGGTGATGTAACGACTGTAATGGAACTCTTTTTCTAGTTCCAGGCGCTGGTGATCGCTGTAAACAACTCTGTACTTGTCTTTTGTGCGAGTTTTACCTGGAAAATAAATAAATATAAAAATAAATACAAGAAATTATGTTAAAAACTATGTAACAGTAGTAATTTTTTCACTCAGGTAAAATCGATGTGTGCTAATTGAATTTTTGTCTTATTCGTGCCCACATAGGCCAGATGGAAGTACACATCAATTATAACACTGAAGCATAGTCCGTGGTGAGAAACTTTTGCTAGAGGAATTATAAAATATTAAACATGGTACTCCCCGAACGGACAAGAGTCTGCAATTATCACCTTTATCCCCTGCGCTCATATTATCCCGTATTCGATGGTTGTTTCCGAACAGGTTCTTTTCCTTACTATGGACAAGATATAAATCATTGATATGTTGGTTATAATTATTTATTGGATGATACATTATTTTTGGCAGTTTATTAGTAGCTTCTTATGAAAGTATATCAAATAAAAAACGAGGTTTTCACTAGAAACAAATAAATTTTCATCATAATTATTTCCCATTATGTAACTGCCAGTTTATGTATTAAAAAGTGATTTTTTTTTAAATAAAAAATATTGTCCATATCATTATAAATCAAATATATTTTTGAAAGCTGTCCATTTTTTAAGGGTCTGATATCGCAAAAAAAAAAAATGAAAAAAAAAATGAAAAAAAAGTTTTGCTTGGTTTTGTTGTTTGTGAAACTTAAGTGTAAATCGACTGAGTGGTTAACTTCATTTTAACGCTGGTAAATATACATGCTAATTTTATTAGTGCAATAACGATAATTTTTTTATGTTTCTGCTCATGCTTTTATAACCCTACACCGTTACTAGTGACGGCTCTAAAGATCTGACATAAATACGGCAAATCTGAAAGATTTCTCAAAGGCAGAGAACTCACCATATATAAGACAATGCTGTTGAATGTTACGTCACTTGCTTCAAAAACCTTGTAAAATTTCATTTTCTACGACCAATTACCACCGAGCTGACAGCTAGCGGGACACTTTATCTGAGGTGTGAAATTGTTTGGCCTACACCGCTACAGCTAAATCAATTTCGGGTGTTAATCTACGCTCAATTAAATAGATAGAATTATCATTGAACAAGACCAATCTGTAACACAATGGATTCTCTTGACTTCTCGGCAAGGTTTCCAAGTACACAAGGGGTGGTCTTTCATGATCTTTTGATCTTTGACGTAAACTTGTCCAGTTTTTGAGATTTAAATTTGTTAAAGCTATATTTCTGATTGTCTTGGGGTTCTTCTTTCCGAAATTGGGTTTGTCTGAGTTAAATGTTTGTTGAATTATTTTTATTTATAAGTTGAGTAAGTGGGACTGGTTTTAAGGGATTTTGATAGATACGGATTTTACGGCTCAGTGTGGCGCGCGCAGGACCCAATCCCTACTTCCTGCTCACTTTTACGACATGGCGTCACGATCTGAAGTTTAATGTGAATTTCATGAGGTTGAAAAGTTTCCACGTCATTAACAAAATCACAAAAAGCTCCCTAACATGTGGGTTAGCAAGTATTTAACTATATCCTTAATGCCCTGTTTTGTGAAACACAAACCACCTCCCAACCCAACTGGGGAAATATTACTACAGGAAATTGATTTTTACTCTACTTCAACATATGTCTATATTTGTTTTATACAAAACGTGCTTTAATATTACTAATTTGCGATGACAGTTTAAAGCTTTTTTTCAAAATAGTCGTTTTGGCTGACACAAAAGTAAAAATTGATAAAATCATAAAAGAGAAATAGGTAAATTATTGTTTTGGAATTAAGCGATATTGAACAATATTGGATCCGCGTTTGTCCCCCGCATGCGATTTTGTCTACACGGACATTTTGTGATCTTCAATGTTTTCCTTTTGATCCTGAGAGTTGGTGGGCTGAATACACTCTTATCAAAGATGACCAGAAGCCCTGTCGATACCGTAAAAAACATCAAATAATATTCCTGCCTTTTCTTTGACGCGGGGTATTAGAGCTCCGATAAGCGGCTTGAAATTAAAATGAAAAAATTCACACTCTTAAACCCTGTTTGCAATTTTCTATGATGTATTCTACAGAATTGATCTTTCTGAAAATATCGCAAATCTGGGATCGCTCGGCACGAGAGATTCCGAATAGTTCCTTAGTCAACTCTTTCTCCAAAATTACATAAATCTTCTTTATTATTTATTCAAGTTGATCTGCGTGCAAGATGAACGAGTCTCGTTAGTTTCCCAATTTGAAAAGAATCCACCCGTTAAAAGGCAATTCCCTATCTCTTTATAAAGCCTTTCTTTGATGGATTTCAAATTAATTTAAGTATCTATGTCGTTCTTATCAATGTAAAACCGCTCTTTTGAAAACATGGATGTTATTTGAAAACGCGTTCACTGATTAGAAACTTGTGAAATGGTAGTGATTGAGAACGCGTGTCGAGGGATTCGGATTTCCTTGGGAACCTGTTAAAGCGACATCATACCGCCTGATCCCTAGTAACAGACGTTTGACAAATTTCTGTCGGATATTGGAATCCGGTCGATTTACGAGACAGGAATTAAGTCGGGACGTGAAATGACTTTTTCCTGATTTATTTTCTGTCGAAGGAAGTCCATAAAATAGAAAGTTTTGTAAGAGAAAAAATATATATTTCATATTGTTTTTATGATATTTCTATGATATAAAACATAATTTTTTCTAATTATTATACACTGTGCGGACAGTGTGTGAAATGATAATTTTCTCCGTTTACACATACCTTAAATTATATGCATATTTTTTTTAATTCGACTTCGTTATCATACAGTTTTATTTTGTTTCATAATTATTTTAATGGATAAACATTTTTTTTTTTAAGGTCCACCTTTCTTTTTCGAGAAAGGATATAAAATATCGGAATGGACTTTGATGTATTCAAATTCAAGGTGTTATTGCTCCCAAACAAAAGAAATGAATATAAATAATTCCCTTGTAAAACATTGAAATAGTTTGTTAAATTTAAGTGTTACATTTTCACTTAAACAAGATAGCAGTGTAGGATGGATAAAGGGATTAGATAGGTATTTGTAGATGCAACAAACCGTCCAGTCAGTTTAATTAAGCGGACAATAAGTTTTGTTAGGGACCCTATGACCTGTTTACACCTTTTAGATTGGATTTCACGTGGCCCCGGGCTAGTTACGGTATACAACCCAGAGGACCGGGACCTACACAGTCTGCATGTGTACAGGTATTACACACAAAAATAAATAAATAAATAAATAAAAATACAAAAATCATTACTAAATGTGTAACTAATTATACAGCTGTGTCCGAGTTTTGCTTTCATTAAAAATAGAGCAGAAAAAAATCACAATGTTCTCATGAGCAAATTAAGAAGACAAAAAAAAAAAAAAAAAAAAAAACATCAGCATACAAATGTTTAAATTTTTATCTAATTAAACTAATTGAAAAAAAACAAACACACGAGGATATTTTAGCAGATAACATCAAATTTCTGCAATAAATTCTTCTTAGTAAAATGAAGGACTTGGTTTTGATTTATTTTTGTGGTACATGTAACTGTTACAAGTAAATTAAATTGCAAAGTAAATTTTTATTTTTAGATTTTATCTTATTCAAAAATCAAAAATGATTTGATCTTCTTTTTTTTCAATCGTTTTTATTTATTCATTTTTTTATAAATATGAAAATAGTATGTTTTGATAAATGTATATTTTTTTTTACCACTCAGTATTTCCGTCATGTGCTAAGCCTTGAATACTAGTAGTAGTACAAGTATTTAAATTTGAATATATACTTTGATGCAAAAGAAAATTTCAACATACCAGGGATGGGACCGCTGGGGGCGTATGAAGTTTTCTTCATCCAGTCGTATGGGGGTCTGAGCTGCTTGTTGGAGGGGGACCCCGGACTGCCACTGGAGCTGGTAGAGGCGGTGGGAGAACACACAGGTTGTGGGGAGCTTCCTAGCGCTGAGAGGTTCTGGTTGATCCCGTTGCCCTGGGGTAGCGGTTGTTGGGTATAGTCTACCCCCATGGGAGGGGCGGGCCTATAGCTGTAACTGTGTGGACTGACTGTACCGGTGGTCGTGGGCATACCATAACTATTTGCCCAATCTTCCACAGGACGGGATCCGTAAGTCATGTAGCAGGGAGCTTGCTGGAATGCCCCGGGGTCCATCTGGTACTGTCCGTAGTCATGGCTCTGTCCCGTGGGAGCAGGATATTGGGTAGTTTGCGGCATGTATCCAGAAAAGTGTCCAAAGTTGTATCCACTGGTTGGTGGAGAGTGACGCGATTGAAACATGTTGGCGTTTTCCTGACACAAAACCATCGTCAAAAAAAATAATACACAAATATTGTCACAGAAAAATCCGTTAGAATTGTCCTGTGTTTTGGAAAATAAATCAGTTGCGCTATATTTCACAGTTTTACAGTACTGCAATAATAATTCCGTCAGGGGTCAATCCGAGCTATAACCTTGCAGAGATGAATTTTACAACTCTATAAATTGCCGTGTAGCTAACAATTTATAATCTCAAAGGTATCCTCCAATTTCCGTATACTTTCAATCATTGATAGGTATCGATGCCAAATTGTTTGGAATCAATGTGTTTTATGAGTACCTGGCTCTCCATATAAGGTCATGTCTCCTCCCCTTTTTCTCTTTCGTCCGATATCCTTAATTCTGATTGGCGTCTAGCACCGAGACATCATTTCTCACCTTCCTGTATCGGTGGTCGGGTTGTCTTTGATGATTTAGGTAAATTATTTTTTCCACGTTTGCTTCAGGTGTAAAATTTACAGTCTCACTGACGGTATACTAAGTATACGGCAATTAAAGTCTTATAGTAAATATTATGGGATTAATGGACAAATATGTTACCATTCCGACCTATATTGCACCGCGCTTTACGGAGATTTATCACCGTTAATTTTTCTAATGGTGCAAATATTAATTTTAATTACAGGATTAAGTGTATCAATTTCAAAAGAACCGACAAATATTGTTATCAAACAATAATATTCTATAGAAAAGAAAAATGAACAATTTTTAAAATGCTGTATAAAAGAAATATTTTTAAAATTACTATACATTTCTATATTTTTTAATAGAGGAAAAAAATAGACCTCCTTTTATTTATTTTGTTTTTGAGGGCCACATTATTATACGACTTTTTACAATTACAATGAAATTATTTTAAATTGAAAAAAAAAATTATCACTTTTCAGATGCATTTTGGAATTTACGAAAACGTTCATCTTTATCAGATGAAACAATTTTGTTGCATGGAAGGAATTTTAGCTATAGGTTTGTGACTAAATATTTGACAATTTGCTAGTGTCTCGCTTTGAACTTTCTTCTCCATGTAATAAAGATAGGGGAGAGAAGTAGACAAGCAAACTTATCAGATACAAAGTTACGTATGAAGAACTTTATTGGGGAGTCATTGACATGGAGAATCAACGTTTGTACAAGATCAAATTTCCCCCTACATCTTACGTGTGTGTTATGAATAGGAAATGATGTCAAAAAAGCTTGATCACGCAAAGAGAATTATTTCAATTTCATTTCGTCTTTAAATTGCAACTTTGGCATGACACACATTTTGAAACTGAAATAGTTTAATATTTGTGATATATCCCATAGTTGCTTTTTAGCATTTCAGTAAGAATTTTAACATAGAAGTTAATTGTAACTATTAAACTTTAATTCTGTTTTATGAAAACGAAGGCAAAATTTATTTTTCCAACAGTCCGGCCCTTGTCCATGGTTTCCGCCAGCCTGCTTCCCGGCGACCCGTGCTCCATTGTTGCTAACGAGGCACGAGCGGTGAGCCGCAGAGGTCCGACCTAGATAAAAACTCTCCATAAATTTGATAAGATTCTAATTAAACTGATATTTTCTTTGTTTTTACTTCTTTCTATCGCTTATTACGAATCTGAACTGAACGTTTGATCTTAAACGTTCATTGGTTCGATTTTTCATTCACAAAGAACGAATCAAAGAAAACACAGGGAAAGTCAACATAATACAGGATTTTCTCGCTTTTGATATTTTTAATATTAAGCTAAAAACCACACCTTATTTCCGGAAACATGACAATTTTTTTTTAAATTTAATTTTTAAAATGTCTTAGTTCACAATTATGCAGGTTATGCAGTTTGCATGCATGCGTTGATTAATTTACGTTGCTAATCAATAGCGACGGTATCATAATTAGAAGACAATGGATGAAGGGTTTAAGAGGTATGAGCGTAGTTGCCAGATGTTATGGATATTCATTTATCTGAAACAAAGGACCGACTTAGTGCCGCTTCATTCGTTAAAAAAGACACTTTTGTGGTCATTTTAAACAACAACTCATTTTTCATTTTGCATTTTCAAATAATACTTTGAATAATTACGATCGACTGCATATTGTTTGCAACTGCAAGAGGAAACATCGCAAATATCATACCTTTAAAGTAAAATATGCAAATGTATATTTATTTATTTATTTTTAAACTCATAAGGAAGAAAGATTAATTTTATTGCAGGGGCCGTTGGTTAGATGTCATTTTACATAGCTTTGAAAGATTGTGTGTTATCATCTTTACCTGAAGTTTAGAGTTATTTCAGGTGAGTTGTATATTACTTGATGTTTTAATTGACTGAGGTAGACAAGTACCCCATAAACCTGTCAGGTGTTATCCCTGACATGCTGCCAGGTAGGGAGGGGGAAATTCTCACCTGACCGTGGAGGGAATACCTTACCTGTGTTAATTAATTAAGAGAGGTATATGTCAGGAAGAGATATTGTCAGGTAATATATTGACAGATTTACCTACAATGAATGAGGTAATCTACAAAACATTCGATTTTCTTAAATACCGCCCTTCATTTTTCCAAGATCTTTCCAGCTTGTTACAGAAGACCACGGGAATAATTACCCTTTTTTATATTGTTTTGGGGATTCCTTTAAAAAAAAAAAAAAAGAATTATCTAAAAGCTTTTTTTCACTTGAAAATATTATTAAAAGATTTAATTTACCATTGCGTAATTTTTTTTTAAATTTATAAATCAATTCTTGGAAAATTTTCAGGGCTTATAATTCTTAAAAAATACATGTATATGTAGAAATAAAGATGAGACAAGAGTGAAGGATGTTTCTTTCAATATCAAATAATACCAGATTCTAAATTTCTTTTTTAAAAAAAATAACTTACAAGCATCAAACATTTGTGCAAGGTTACAGCACCGAAACAAATTTCTTACATATATTATTGAAGGTGTCTGTGTTCAAGGAGAAATGAAAAAGGGGGTAACAGAACTTTGATAATACATTGTCTCTCTACTGTAATGATGTTATGATTCTATAATTATTCTACTATACAATTTCATGGATATTTATAACTAAATTTTACCTAGTCGTGCATCAATTAAACATAAAAACTTTTTATTGGATGTCAGACTGAAACGTTCCTTGTCAAAGACCATGCTTGAGGAATCCTACAGCGTGATAAATGCCCGTTCTCTATCGATAATGAAATCCCTATTAATTTCTTCTATCTGTAAGGAACCACTAATCCACCGAACTCTGATTGCATTTTAATTATTTTATTGTGAGCGCAGTCATGATTTATACGCAGCCACAAAATCTTACATCACAATTCCGCGCATCTCCGGATGTTTCCGAGGAATACATATCAATTTATTTAAAGGAAACATTTGTTTAAACTTTATGAAATTTAATATCCCCCCAAAGATATATAAAATCTCATATGAACGTAAGTTAAACATGATAAAAAATATATTTCATGTGTAATGAATTTAATTTAAAAAATTAGCTTCACCAATATTCAATTTGGGTATCATTTTTTCTTTAAATTTATTTTATTTAGATTATTAAACAAATAGAATGGGAGACGTGAGCGTGGATTATTTATTTTAGAAACCTAAATTTTTAAATAAATAGAAATACCAAAAAATATAAATGCCAATCTGATAAAAAAAATCTTATAGCCAGCCTAAACTTTTAGTCTCTGTAACAAGAATTTATTATAAATATGTTAAATTTATTTCATTCAAGTTACTTCGACTTTGATAAAACCGTTTATTCATTTTATTTGAATATGACTGAATAGGCGGAAACATTCTATTACATGTATGCTTCGCTTTACCGTCTGGACTCGGAAAACATCAATGCATAATTTAGAATGATTATAATACGTATGTTTTAAATTTTATCTGATTTAACGGTAAATAAATCCTCATGCAATAATTCCAACGTCTGGAGACAGGAACATGAAGGCGATCATCGATACAGATCGATATCTTAATTAAAGGAGATCGATTCCAATAACAATTATTGAAATATTAAATCAAATCATAATCATTCTGTGATATTTCAGAGATTTCATCGATGATTTATCTTAAGAGTTTACAGGACTTTTAATGTGAGTTTTCATTAAACTTATATAATCAAGTTTTAAATGTATTAGTTTTTGTAATAAGAATGTATGCAGAGAGTAAACAGAAAAACTGCGGTAATACTATATGGTAACAGCACTTAGTATGTCTGGCGCTGAAACATAAAGGTGATCAGTGAAACGGATCACAAATTAATAGGAAATTATAGTTAATAACCAGAAAAAAAGAAGTCCTCAATATTGCCGACACAGAGGAAAATATTGTACCTGAACATTTATAAAATATAGTTACTTCACCTGTATACAATTAAGGATATAACATCTGAATGTAGTCTTTTTATGTACACGTATGTCAAGACCGGAATAATAACTTTTTTTATAATATACATGTACTTTTCTTCATTTTTTTCCCTAGAGAAATTAATATGTAGGATAACATTTTGAGTATGACAGATGTGTGAAATATAACTGATAGTCAGCTGTGGTTAATGACATCATACATGTATCTCTAAGATATTTGAGAAAAGGAAATCCTACACTTACATACAAAATATCTACTCTTAAAAAGATAAATAGTTAAACAAAATATTTTTTTTATAAATCACTTGCTTTGAAAATAGTCGTTCTAGCCAACTTCATGTCTGGTTTCGGTAAACATCAATACATAATTAAGAAATATTATATGTTAAGTCGTATCTGATTTAACGGTAGACAACTCTTCCTGCTACAATTTCAATGTCTGGAGACGGGAGCATGAAGGTGATCATCGATACAGATCGATACATCATATCTACAGGAGATCGATCAAGATAATTATATTCAAAATATTGTCGTTCATGATAATTATATTCAAAATATTGTTGTTCCTGATAATTATATTCAAAATATTGTCCTTCAAAATTTAATCATTCTTTGAGATTTTATTAAAAACACATGGTTTATATAAATGAAAATCATCCTTAATTTCCATTAGTACGTATATACTAACGTATTTCACCTCGTAATATTTTTTTTCTTCATAAAACATATACTAGCCCTCTAGGTATAATAGGTGGTTATTTTTGTTTGTGTCATAAGGAAATATCATTACTTCTAATTATGTTTATCAGTTCCAGTGTTTGCCAGCATAGAATATCAGGGAG